CCAGAGGAGGTCAAGCAGAAGGAAGACATGCAAGCTCGCAGTCGCAAATTGCGGAGTGGTGAGACTCACGGAGAGGAGTTGCTAGAGGCACTAACAGAGCCAATCCAGAAGAAACGCAGGTTCTCGCAGAAAAAGCCTGAAGTCAAGACAGAAAATTCTGAAGATCACATTCTCATCCGCAAGGTGAACTACCAATACCCTGGCCCTTGCACTATCCGAACTCGCAAACAAGTGGTAGGTATCGGAGCTCAAAAACTCAGCAGAAGAGCGCAGGTGATGCTTTTGGATCAGACGCATGACCTGGACATCGAGAATTGTCTTTTCACTTTGCTTCCCCAACTGCTGGAGAAATTGAAATTGGATCCACCAATGCCACCGGATGCACTAGCAGCCTTTGCCCAGTGCAGGTCACAAAGGACTAAAGTTTGCGCAGATGTCTTGCAATTGCCCCTGCACGTGGGCAAAGAGCTGCTGGTATCTATTCTGTACGGCGGACATGTATCGGGCAAATTGGTGCGACATGACTTTGCGCAATCTTTGCAGCGAGCATCTATGTATTGCAAATGGGCTGCTGCTTCCAGCTTACCTGAGGAGTTTGCATCCTTCGTGGAGGACACTACAAAGAAAAACCCTGACAGCTCTGTTCTAGCTTATCTCTACATGGCCGCTGAAGACTACGTTCTGTCTCACTGGTGCGATCATCTTTTGACCTTTTCACCCACCCACTTGTCACTACACTTTGATGGTGTCCGCATATCACCTCTGCAGGGGATCTCCATTGAAGAAGTTTGCAAGCAAAGTGCATCCTACATTCTGGACAAGACTGGCTTCAAGGTCACAATCCGAGAGAAGAGACATGAGACTGTGAATGCCTTGATCAAGAAAGCTGCTGCGTGTGCGAAGAGGGCTCCCTTTCCCACAGATCATGTCTACTGTGTGCCAGGGAATTGTATTCCCCACGCTTTGGCCAGTTTGGGTGCCATTACGGAAGAGAAGGTGTCACTGTTGACAGAAGCATGCCCAGACAATGCATATATGCAACAGCGTGGATGTCGCACATATCTGCAATGTTCCAATATGTTCCACTGTTCCTTCTCGCCCGTCTTGTGCACTCAGTCTTTTGATTTTCGAGGAAACTTCCTCTTACATTCCGAAAATGGTGGCAGCCCACATTGCGTTGCTGTGAAGCAGGACGAGGAAGACAAGCTGATTGTTTTTGACACAGATGGTGTCTTCCACTTAGCAGTAGCTGACTTCGAGACAGCGTTGTTAGGTGGTGTGGATGCTGCCACGTGTGTTATTTTCAAACTTCAGGACGGCAAAAAGGATACAGATGTGGGTATGTCCGATTTTGAGAACCTCCTGGACTTAGCAGCAGGGAGTTCTGAATCAAATGAAGAATGCACTACAGACGATGCTCAGGACACAGCATTACTGCCAGAGGTGTCCGAAAAGAAGGGAAGCTTTGATTGGCTAGATGACACTGGACGTGTGATCACCGACCAGGTGTTGTTGAGTGATTTGCAAACGGAGGCGCAAAAGTTTATGGAAGCTGCCAAGGCTGGACAATTCCGAGCCGAACGCGGTGCTTTTCAATGCCCTGCGTGCCCCTTCCGGAAGTTCGACCGCTGCAAGCGTCTGGCTGTCCATCTTTCTCGGTATCATACAGCAAAGCGTCAGTTCTGTTGTTCCGGCACAAAGCAGATCAAAATCATTCTTGCTCTCCATGACTCAGACATGATTGCTGAAAAAAGGCAAGGGAACTACCTGAAGCGAAGCGCCACGCTGCTAAGAAGATCTATCAAGCCAATGCTTTCGCCGCAGAACAACGCCGTCGACAAGGAAATTCGGTTTCTATTGGATGCTTCAGGTCCAAGGGTAGTGCATCGGCAAGCGCTTCGCAGCGCGCGTCGAGTTGGCAATATGTACTACACACATTCCTTCGCTGAGCGGATCTTCCAAGAAATGCTCTTGAACCATGCCAAGGCGCGGGGAGATGAAAAAGGTTCAATGGTCGCACAGCATGTGCTATGAAGGTGAAAAACCCTTGTAGTGACTGCTCTAAGCACCCCTCAGGTGTCTGCCTTGGTACCTCGTTTTTTGCTTGACTCAGCAAAAGCTGGCAACAGCCTGGCGTCAATGCTGCCCACCCACACTGCGTGTTGGTGGCCTGTGGTTGAGGACGTATTCGCATCAGCAGCTTGCAAAAAACTCCGTCATCATCTCCTGGACCAAGCTGTTGCGCATGAGGAGTGCTCGTACCTGTCCATTGATGGAACATTCAAGGTATGCTTGCCATTGATGGGGCAGGGTCGGTTTTCAGACCCAAGAGCCTTACGCGACCAGCATCCTTTTCCGGCAAGTGACAGCTACACCCGTGTTCTCTCAGTGCGGGGAAGAAGCGGTGCAGTGCTTTGCCTGGAGCCATCTTGTGGAGAAGGCGCAGACCACATCAAAGCGTGTCTTCAAAAAAGCATTTCAGCGCCTGGACTTTTGCAAGTGAAACATATTGCAAGCGACAATCCTTCACCGAAGCTTTTTTCTGAGCTCAAATCGATCTGCGCAAACCTCAAGGCCTTGTCTTTAGACCCAACACATACGGCTATGCACTATGAGCAGGGGCTGGGAGGAAGAAAGTCTGCAGGTTCGAGCCTACTTCGGTCATTCATGGTGAAGTTCACCAACCACGACGAAGCAGTGACCCAAAACATTTGGGGACCATTCTTTGAAGGACAAGCTTGCGTGGCCCTATCTCGTGAGGAGCAAATGTTGCGACAACACATTCTGGACAGCTCCTTGGCAGTTGTCCGTTCCAAGCGGATACTGGCTTCTTGTGAAGAATTGAAGGTCTGGCCTACACGGATTCAGTTTGTGGAGGCACTGGCTGCACTTTCCTGTCTTCACAGAACCGACATGGGCCGGAAGATCGAAGGGACTAAAACTACGCTGGCGAAGCTCCTACACAATGTCACAAGTGCAGAGCAGCTGGAGTGGCTCTTCAACAACTTGAGGTACAGGCAATTCTTACCACATCGAGTTCGTCTGCTGCTGCCTTCAGGCACTACTGCCAACGAAGCACTCCATGCAGAAATCAACTCATGGTATCGACAGACTCAGCAGATGCACCGCAGCACATTGGTGCAAAAGCTGCAAATCCAGCAGCTGGGCAAACTATTGGCCCACAACATTGCTTTGCACAGCCCCACAGCAAAGCAGATGCCAAGCTCTCATGTCCTCTCACAGCGAGTTGGAAATCCTCTATGGTCAGCCAAAACCTGGCAGTCGGACATGGCGCAACAAGCATCAACCTTGCCATTGAAAGCTCGCAGAAAAACAGAGAAGGAGCTGGTGGCAGAAGCAGCTAAAAAGCGTCCAGCAGCAGCTCCAAGGCCGAAGGCGCGTGCGAAGCGCACGCCATTTACTTTGGAGCGCAAACCCGGTCTCCTAAGGAGCGGGGTGCGCAAAAGAAACTCGATGTGACAGGTGAAAAAGAATTGCGTAAACACTGCTTGCTGTGCTTGTGCAAACACAAACAACACTATCTTTGGACATTGGCACGCTGGATTAGACTTAACCCTTCTACACTCTGCGCGCTCAATACACAAGCAATTAGTATGTACTCTCAGCGATCAATATGTTGCTTTCTCCCGGCCCTACCTGCTTGCTTGCCTGGTATAGAGGGAACCTAATCTCTATGATTTGCTGGATAGTTTCTTGGCATCGCGCTCCGCATCTGGTTCTCCAGTTTCAAGTCCAGTTATGGAACTGGAGCAACAGCCTTGCTATTTAACGTCTGCGAAGTATTATTGTGCTCTTTTGCTGACAGGAAAAATGGGCGGGTGCTGGATGTTGCACTTAGAACCAAAGCAAATGTTGTCTTGAGAGCTCCCACGACTCATTGTACCTATTTTTCCATGCCTCGGGGGCCCCCCCCCCCCCCCCCGACGAACAGAATCAACTCTTACAGGACCAAATTCAATGCACAATCCCAACTCCTGATTGTAATACATTTTTGCTAAAGCAAGGAGAACTCAGGTAGCTCAAGCTACCTTTCGTGATTATCGCCCATTCTTGTGACCAGGTGATGGAAACACTATTGCATCTGTCTTCTTGAATATCTCATGGGTGTGCATTAAAATAGGGAGACCTCCCAATGAGCTCCTGGAAGAGAAAAAAAACAACACCCATGGCTGCGCCCCTGGGGCCAGGGTGTCTCCCTCTTAAAATGCACATCCACATCATATCACATCTTCAGCAGGTATGGAAAGCAACAAAACCGACTGAAACCCAATGGTTGAGGACCCCTTATTTCAGAGATCTGGGAGAGCTGGGACTAGGCGTTGTCATGACCTCCCGACCGAGTTAGGCTGGGGGTTCTCCGGACCGTGGCAGTCGGCTTTCACCACCTTTCCGCCAAGGAAGGAAGAGTTGAGTTTGAAAACCTACCACGCCCAACTCATCGGGTACAGATCCAAAATCACCTATTGAGCCAATCAGATTGGGGTGGTTGACCTACAATGTAGACAGTATAGTAGGATTCAGTAAATTCAGTAGGCATAAATCCCTCCCATGGATGGTCTGGGTATGGTAGTCCCATATAGTCCCATGGAGTCTTTGGGAATCCTTGCCAATCTTTACGGAGTGCTGATGGAATCTGATCCAATCGGAACGAGTCGGTTGAGAGTCGCCTGCAAAGTGGGTGCTGTTTGGAGATCCTCTGCGGTTCTGCTATGCAACACGGCATGCTTATCGCATTTGATGATCAAACAGCCAACTGGGCATGTCACATTTGGAAGATCACGGATCATGGATGAACTGCCTGGCCTGGACGGTTTCTAGACTGGACTGAACCCCGGCTCCAGGCCTCCATGTTTCAGGAAACACATCCATCAAATCACATCGGATCACCTGAAAAAGTAGGAAAACACACTACAGTATTAAAAACACATAAGGAAAACATGCCTCTCGATATGTTGCGCTCATTTCTGGGCCCCCCCTGCTGCAAGTAAGCGTGCCAGAGTTTGTATGAGCCTGGAAGCTCCTGCGCGACCCCGGGTCGGCCCAGAAAAAAGGGCTTGGTTTAGTAGCAGGAGATTTGGCACGAAAAAGATCCAAAACCGGAGAAAAGCGGACTCAAAGACGTGCTCAACATGTTGCTCAAAGGTTAACATCTGCCCAGAAAACAGGAGATTTCAAAGTTGGTCGGGATCAGGACTCATGCTTGGATGTCACCTTCAAGCAAGCAACATCAATTCAATATGATAAGATATAAACTATTAGCAATATCGATAATATTTAAGGAACAAAACACTAAACTAAACAATTCCGACAAGAATCTGGATACCAAAAAAAGTAAAAGAACAATCTACACATCCATTCATGAGTGATTCACAGTAAAGAACGTTGTGGCATATCCTACAGTGTACAAATGTGTACAATCTGAGCGCGTTCGGCTGCGTTTTCCAGGCTCCTTCTCAAAAAAGAACATTAACCAGTACCACTGCGGAAATCCCAACAGCCTCAGCTCAACAGCCCCTTGGCGTTTCCTTGACCGCGCGCTCATAGATCAAGTAGCGCACGCGCAAGGGCGCCTCTGCCTCAAAATGCTTGTTGCGGAACGTCAGGTGGATTCAGGCATGAATGGCAAGTGTGCTTTACAATCGATGGATTCGTTTCGATTCGCTCCGGATTCCCGCTCATGCTTGACTTGGCTGATCTTAGTTAGTCTTAGCCGCTACAATGTCCATCTAAATTTGATCACCCCAACTAAAGGCGAAACGTTCGTTAGCACTCTCCGCTTAGCTCTCCCTGTATACTGTGCTTAAAAAACGAACAATATTGCATGACTTCCCCGTTGCTACATGCTACATAGACGCACAAAAACCACTAGCCATCCCTAGCCCCGGCAATGGAGTGTTCAATGAGCCATTCGGCTGTCAGCGTGGGGCCGGTGTGTAGCCTGATGCAGGGGATTGGCCAACCAGGCCTGGAACCCTCACATGAGTTGCAAAACCTGTTGGCAGTGTACACGACCGCAAAACGTCACGTGTTTGTGCTTCATGACCAGCCTTCCAGTCACACCGAAGGTCAATGGCCAAGTAGAACTGACTTAGGCCGTCATCTGTTTACTGGAATCCTTTCAGGGGAAGCACCTTAGTGTACCAAATGGGTCAGTGCAAGCTAGGTGTGGTTTACAACTTGCAACTACCATGCAAGTAGAATCCTATCTTTGATGTCTTTGATTTTCACATGGCTATGGTCCAAATCCAGAACACAGTTTGCCTCCTCTAAGTTGACAAACCCAACTATCAAAATGCCAGCCAACATATGTTAATCTGCTACATAAATGTAATATAGTGTTGGGGGTCTTCGTTATGGACTCACACTGATATCTCCGTGTTTGATTACAAAGCTCTCCAAAACTGGCTAGAAACAGTTTCCAACATACTATCCGGGTATCCGATTTGGGGCAGGGTCGCTGATTGGACATCCCTTTTTCCAAAGGTCCAAGCCATAGGCCGTTACGACCCGCCTTCGCCTTCACGTAGGCACACCATAGCTTCACCTGGAGACCGTTGTGACCCGCGTCGTCCCGCCGCGTCGACGGGCAAAGACCTGAGAGAATAGCTTCGAAGCCGTTAGAGACATCCTTCACTCTCTTGCACACAGACCATAGACCATAGACCAGCAAATATGCCAATATGACATCTTTGGAAGTATACCAAGGGACACTGTAGTTTTGTAAGCATCGATAATGATTCGGACATGTGGTTGCTCGGTTCATTGTCCAAGAGTGCCAGGCCCACGCTATATGGATTCTGCTGCAGCTCTTGCTCGTACGCGACGTCGGTCTCACGCCTCAAGTGAGCTGACAACATGGCACCGTAGTTGAGGCGTTCGATGGGTCTTTCCGTCTGTCCAGTACCGATGAGACGTCTGTTCACCGGATTCTAAATGAAGACAGCAGCAGAAGCAGCAAGACTTCAGGCTCCTAAGCCACTGAGAATATGCCACCTGCCATACCTCTAGAGGCGGCACATGCTTGTATGACCTGGGACCTAGAACATTATACGGAACACACAGGAGACTTGTTGTTCCTGAATCTTTGCAATGGATCAGGAACTGGAAACAACAAGCTTCACATCGAAAACGCCAGGCAACTCCAAGTCCGCCGAAATTCGCGACAGGAACGCCGGAGCACTCCCAAGCAAGTCATCACAAGTCGAACCCATTGCATCTCCAGAGTAGGTCCAAGAACCCAAATGTGGCAACACGCCAAAAGAAGAGAGCGTGCGAAAACACAGAAACAATGTACATGTACATATATACAGCATATCTATAAAGACGGAGCAAACAACATCAATCACAATCCTCAACGTCTGCTGTCTGCTTGTGCCGACTTTGAACACTCACTTTTTGGTAGCACAGCCTGGTTTGCCACTCTTTATTCCCTTCCTTCAGATAGTTCAACCATGTTCAACCAAAGGTCCCACTATTCTCATCCAAGTCTGGATTGTTGCGGAGTCGGTTTCATCTCGGCCGAAACAGATCTCGGTCCCCAACCTCTCTGTTTAGACCCATCGACCGATTGAACATCGACCGATCGGTCCACCACTCTGAGCACAGCTCGAACGAGCCCAGCCAAGGAGCAGAACATCCTCTGAGATCGCCTGAAGCCGATGACGGCGAGACGAGGGCTGTCGAAGCGACGGAACGGAATGCGTCCGGTTGAAATGAGCGCCCGATGGTTGGTGTTGATGAGATGCGGACCAGTGATTCATGGATGGTTGGACATGGAAGGCGTACGCGCGCATAGGTTGCTGCTGTCCTATACACTGCAACCAAAAAATGCCCATGTATATGTCCAATCACGTCTTCAAAGTGATTCATCACAGCATTTGTCTACCAAAAAAAGAAAACCTGTGCAGGGCCATCTGGAAGAAACGCCAATTAGCGGGCAAAGCTTCCACGCCCAAGCATCGGTAGCAAGAAGCAACTAGCAAATAGCATCGGTTGCCAGGTGTTTTGTATCGCTGAAACGTCTGTACCCCCCAATTTCCACGTCCTTTTGTCTTTTTCGTTCAATTACAATCCGTCTCTTGATGCCATCGATCAAACCCCGAAAATCCCGGGCTCATCCGAAGTGAACAAATCCACAATATACAGTAGTGGTTTCAGAATAGACGGCACAATCCCCAAAAGCTAGTTTACAGTATATATATATATGGATACCCATCTAAAAGACATCTTAAGGGGTTTATTTCTCCACTCTGAAACCACTGTATGTCGTTTCCGTGGTTCAAGGGGGGGGGAGCTGTTCCCGATGGGCGATTCTCGGACGTGTGCGGTGTGCCTCCCAACTGCCCTCCATCAAGTCCGCCTCGTCGGTGGTGCGGGAGCACCGGCCCCACCAAGGAATCTACAGAATGCTACTGACCAAAGCCTCCAAACAGACTGAAAAAGCATGCAGGTGTCTCAAGAGTTCTTGAACAGGTAGAACGGTTCTGGGTTACAAAGCTGCTATTTCTTTACCTTAAAGCATAGGTCTGGATTAGGCTATTATTTCAATACCCCTCTCTACACTGCAGAAATCAGTGGTTTCTGCCATGCCAGTTGTCTGGAGATTAGGCAAATATTTTGACGGGGGTAGTGTTGATGGGGGTTGTGTGATTACTACACTTTGTCCCACCACTTGGATTGTGACAATCGTAAATTCAGCAAGTGTATTCAGCACACTCACTCGAAATGACTTAGAAACTCATAAACCTTCTGCTGCAATGGCGGGTACAGTATAGATAGATGCCATGAAGCACGTAGTGGCCCAGTAGTGGCAGCTAGGAACAAATAGAAACAGTAAACACACACAATCACACAATCACACACACACACACATTGTGTGAAGGTCCTGTTTCTGACCCGAAACATAGTGGATGTCCATATTTCATGCTCAATCTAAGTGGAACGATCCCGCGCCCATGAACAGTACGGTCTGCATCATCCTTTCAATGGCGCGAAGTCCATCTGAAGTTCGTGGCCATCGGCGTGATCCCATGACCCCCTCCCGAACGTCACGGACCGGGGAGGTATCCACGTTCGGTATACCGTTGAAGCAAGCCAGATCCAAATACCGGGCCAGCAACAAATGGGGTGAAACATGGTGAAACCCTCAACCGATCATGGAATTTGGACATGCGGAACATGCTTTGGCCCCTATGAAGACCCCAAATGGTTGCCAAGGAGCTTGACTTCTTGAAGGAGCTTGTCTTAGCTTTTCCACCCGCGACACCAGACCCGCCGCGAAATGGCCCCCAAGGCACCAGATCGCCATGGGACCGGCCCAGGGCGCGGAAACGGCGGAGCCGAGACGCAGCTGAGAGGGGTCAAAGAGATCAAATGGCACTCTCAGGGCCTTCTGCGCATCCGCCCTGTATGGAAAAACCAGAAGGGAGCCCCGTTCGTAGCGATGCCAGGAGCCCCGTTCGTAGCGGCTTTGCTCCGTTCGTAGTGCCAATTCCAGGATGATGTGACTGCAGTTCTGCTTTCTCCCGGAAAACAGACCTGTAGAGCGAATGCGTGAACATCCACCTCGTCCTGAGTTAATGTTGGCCAAACAAACTAACAGAACACAAAGAAACAAACAAAATCTCAAAAAAATCTTGCTTTTGCAAGTCAACTGTGGTTATTGAAACCATGTTCTTTTATTTAACCTGTGGGATTTCCAGGGACGTCCTGGAGCAAGACTATACTGTAATATTATACTTGTCATCTGTCAGTCCATCCACCAATCCGGATGTCGGTGTCACTGTGCACATAGAGGTCTTGGGTCTGGCAACTGGTGGCAAATCTACATGTAACTGTCTCAACAAATGACCTTGGCATGGTAGCCCTCAAATGACCATGGTCGCACGACTAAGCTGGACAAGTCTTTGCCCCGACAAGTCTAAGCTAATTCTTCAAATCACACAACCCAAAACCACCCCAATTCATGTTTTACGATGTTTTTTGGCATGTAATCACTTGTACGCAGCTCGTGGTTGTACCATAATCTACCCCATGGCCAACGGGCCAAATGTTGTTCTCGTGACGAAGTTATTGTTTTCTCCCCAGTGTTCCATGGAATTGGTTTGTTGAGAACTCCACCGATAAACCTTTGATGCACACACCATCTATCCATCTATCAGCCCTGGTCGAGCGGTGGTTGAAGGCGGTGAAGCTTTCTTTCCACGGAGTGTCTGCTTTGGTCTGCTTTCATTGAACCTGCTCCCAAAGAGTGCAGTTCGACACAGCAACAAACCACTGGCACTTCGAGTGAGACACCGTTCCGTCACCGTGGACCCAAATGACTGGACTCCATGGGAAACCCTAAGACGGCCGGCTGCCGGTGAGAAAGCTTGCTTTGAAGCCTTGCATGAAAAGGCCACACTCCCATAGCGAAACATCACCCAGTGTTTCACTCAATCCTTGAGAAACAAATCCATCATCTCGTGCTCCTTGCAACCCAAGAGACGAGCAAGTAATGTCACACGAAAAAACAACAATAGAAATATTGACTACATAAATCATGGGAGGAAAGGGGATGAACAACAACAACAACAACAACACCAACACCATCAGCAGCAGCAGCAGCAGCAGCAGCACCAGCAGCAGCAGCAGCAACAACAACTGCAACTGCAAGCAACTGCAACACACTTGGAGAAGAGCAAACTCATAACAACAAAAACAGTATGTTCGATTGTTTTTGCTAACACTGAATGACGGGTACAAAAATTTGGGCCTGCAGAAAACAGTCTGATCATCAATCCTGCCCCTGCCCAATCAACTCCCAACTATGGTAGCACTTGAGAACAAACACGTTCATTCATGCTAGATCACTCTAGACTCTAGAATGTATTCAGAACTTGGAGGAACAGCATTCAATTGCTGAGCTATGGCAGTACTGACCTGTTCTTTTTTTCAATACAAACCTCTAAGACTGGTTCACTATGTCTTGAGCAAACCTCAACTCGACCTGCTCTTAGCGAGAATCTCTTCCGAGGAGGGGAGAGCGAGCGAGCGAGAGAGAGAGCGAGAGAGAGGAGCATGCACAAAAGTTGAAAGGTATCGTCAACCCCAACTGTCTTCCTATGTAAAGCAACCACAAGGACATTAAGAACCTACAGTCGGAACTGGGACCATCTTTCTATATTGCATTGCCATAGTGTTCCGTGTTCAAACTCAAAGAACCCCTCTCAAACCACCGCCGCCCCTGCGTCCTCACGTTGAGACTTGCTTCACCGTTACCCCTTTGGATTTCGACCGATGAGGTGGGGCGACCGACTTGTGCCAGTCATGGCCTCGTCCAAGACGTGTCGACAAATGGCTTCCACCGACTCATCGACCTGTACCACAACGTGGGTCAGGTCGAGCCAGAGCCACAGGCAATGTTGTTTTGTGGGAAAAGACTGTTCAGTGAGGTATTGCTTCAAATTCAAAACACATCTCTCTCTCTCTCTCTCTTTCTCTCCACACTCAAGACAAATACCTTTTGAGAAGACATATATCAAGTCCCCAAGTCAAAAATGTGCCGAATATAGACCCAGAATTGCCTCACTCTTGAATTCCCTAGGCCCAAGACGACCCAACACCGGGAAGGCCCAAGACGACCCGACCACCGCGATTCGGAACCCACGGGGCTCTTCCAATCGACGCCCCGGTGAAGCCGTCCGCCTCGAAGTCCATGGAATCCACGGTGACCCTCAGCCTCGACGGAGCGACAGGAAGGGGCGGAGATGGGCAAAGTCCGGGCCTTGGATATGTTTGGATGAGCAACAGAACTGACTGCACAAGCAGAACTGACTCATGGGAATTTGTTGTTGCAATTTTGAGAGTGGGAACCAATCGATTCTGTGTGTGCGGCATGACTGTGACTCCATCCAATGAGCTTTGGAATCCAAACAAACAACAAACAGTTCTGATTGAACACAAACGCAAACAAAGTTTAATATAAAGTCTTGCGGAGTTCAGACTCAAACCCGCCTCCGGAGTTTTTCTTCCGCTTGCCGCTTGCCGGCCAAGACCGCCTCCAGTTGTGTGCAGTGCTGCAGCTGCAACAAGCCTCGACGCGGATCGTCGAAGGGTTGGATCGATGGCTGGCCCGAAGATTGCAGGCCATCATAGGGATGTCATATGACATGTTTCCGGTGCAGGATTTCAGAGTTTCAGGCTGGGTGCATTTCCAGGAAGGAATTGGGATCCCATAAATCATTCCACATCCAAATATTTTCCCACTAGCATTGCGCGGCGGAATGAGTGTGCATTTTTGTTGGACACGTTTAACAACCGTTTTTTTGTTTTTTTTTTTCACTAATTAAGATTAACATGTTGACTGAATGAGCACCTGCAAACCTATGAAGGAAGACGTATGAAGGATTGACATGGCAATGTCAATACCAACACCCACCAACAATTGTAACACACACTATAAAAAATAATCGTAGCACATGTTAAACACAACATACAACATGTAATCATGTAACAGTCATAAAACAAACATATATATATATATATGTGTGTGTATGCCGCATGCTCTACCGAGGCAAACGATCCCGGTACCGGGTACCGAGGTCTGACTGACAAGTGAGTTGGCGGCTTTTGGCGAGCATCATTACACTCCTGAACACTAACATTGGAAGAAAGTCTGTCTTCCTTTTCAAACTAGTGGGTTTTCAGGTGTTGAGCAGGGTAGCGCCTAAGACCATCACCAGGCCGGACTACGAGCATTGTGATCATGATTTCCCAGAAATTTCAATATCATGAGAAAAAAGAACAACATTCAGCCAAAAGCTCAACCAGAAAGGGAGATCAGAACCAGGTTCAATCAAACGGAAAACAAAACAACTCTAGATTGAAAATTGAAATCTATTTGTTTCTTTGAGTCTGGGTTTGGTGTTTCCTGAGTTTGGATTTGTCTTTTGATATTGAGACTGGGTGTGTTTGCTTGTTCTTTCCGTTTAAAAAACATGTTATTTTTGACTTCTGTTTTTGTCGCGCTTTTTCTTGAGTGACAAGCTTTTTTGCTTTGAGTATACCCTTTTTTGGTCGTTCGTGTTTTTCGAATTGTTTTTTTGTTTTTTGATTTTTAACAATGATTCTGACTTTTCTGGTGACACCGTCACAATACTAGCAAGTGGCTAATGTAGAATCTTGATGGTTGACGACGCCGCATATGAAGGTGTCTTTAAAATCCAAGGGTTATCCGCCGACCCCGGCATAGCCTGGCCTAAGCCGGGTGGCGCCCAGCGCACTGCAGGGTGGAACACTCACCGTTGTCCAGCCACCCTAGACAAAGTTTGTGCGGGGGCATGTTGTCCAGCCGCTATGAAGAACATGGGTGAAGGCTGTGGCGGGGAGCCTGCCACGCCTCAGGCCGTGGGCTTGCACACCTCTTTTGGCTGGAGGTGGCTGATTCTGATTCCACCAGCTGGATTCTGCCAGAATACTTTGGTGGCTGATTCCGCCACCCGCGGGATACTTTGTTGGCTGGCTACTTTTAGTTGGCTGGCTGGGTACTTTGGTGGCTGGCTGGCTGATTGCTAGGTTAGGTCATCCGCTGGATGCTTTTGGCGGGTATATAATTCTACCAGCCCCGGATACTTTTGGCCGGGATATTTTGGTGGCTGATTCAAAAACTTGTCAAAATGACTCTGGCAGACGAGCTGATAAGACCACAAGTAAAAAGGACTCAAAGATGCTCTTGCGAGAAACCATCCAGGCAAATTTCGACAAAACGGGCATGGCTTCAACGTCCTTGGCACCGCCCAGGTCAAACTGTCAAACACACAAAAGGGCAATGAAGAACGTTTTGGAACAGAAGCATCAACCGGCCAGCGAACCTGAATGTGTGTAGTTCGCACATGAGTAATACAATGCATAATTACGCGCAATGCATACGCTGTCTGGAGAAACCTGGACACTCGCAGGCACCCATTCTGCAAGCCTCGCAACCTGCCCAGGGCCTGACAACCACCCTTCAGACAAAACACCCTGTCTGGAAGCCTGGAAACCAAGAAGTCGTGGAAGCCCTGGAAACCCACTGGCTGGAAACCGTCGAAGCTGTCAAAACCCTGTAAACCGTGGAAGGAAGGTGAGGAAAACCCATGGAAGCCCGCGCGCTCCGTGGCGTGGAAGACCGGCTGGAAGCTGTGCAAACAATGGAAACCCTGGAAACCGTCAGTGGAAACCGTGGAGCCCCTGAAAACCCTGGACACCGTGCAAGCCCCTGTTGCTCCCTCAGCTCGCCGGGCACCAGCTGGACAGCAAAAATACTGCAGTGGAAAACCCTCCCTGGCCCCGGTCTCATCCCAAGTCACTGCCCCGCATTTGATCCTCTTCAAGCCGAGCCAAGCATCGCCTGGGGTGGAGAACCCAGGAGGGAGGTATGTCTCCAAGCATGGAACTTCTCCAGGGCCGAGGCCCCTTTTTGAGGCTTTAAGGTCCTATTAATGTGTATCCCCTTCTTTGACTGTCATTTGAGGAACTCTATACAGAGTTACTCACCTTCTATCATCCATAAATGTGATCAAGCCCACTTGGAAGTGCGCGGATCCCACAGATTGTTTCATGCACTCCACACATGGACAGTGCAGGCATGTGCAGGCTACCATGGTCTACCCTGGGAGTTGATTCAAACGCACGGTTGTATACCCTGGAAATCAACCTGTTACGTGAATTGTATACCCTGGAAATCAACCTGTATGTGAACGACATTCCCAGAAAGCCAACAGTTACCCAGGGAGTTCTTTCCCACGGTGACGCTGAGTTCGCAACAGTAGAGCACAAGCCGCTGTCAACTTAGCCTGTCAGCTCAATCGGCGTTGAAACAAACGCCTGTCACTTTTTTGTGCTGAGTCCAAGTGCATTCTTGTGTAGATTACAGGCTGAGGAAGCTGCTGTGGAGCAGAGGCATTCTTCATGAATATCTGCTCCCTTGTGCACAGCTTCAGCATTGGAATGGTTTCCTTTTTCACTGTCTGCTCGTCTAAAACGACGTTCTCCTCTGCGACTGGTTCTTCTTCTATGAAGGCCTTGCCCAAATTAGCTTGAGTAAAGCTTTCTTCGTTGCGAACAAACTTTCTCGATTGAACAAACCTGTTGTTGCAGCTGCGTTCCTTAAATGCAATGTTAGCCTGATGTTTGCAGGCAAAAACGAACGCGCAAAAGCTTCAAACACGACAAACATCCAAGATCACCCAAGGACTCTAGATATTCAGTTGTTGCCTTCAAGTACAAACATGTGCACCTCAATGCGGGAAACTGTTTACATATAGAAGCAGGTTGGAAAAGTAACCCATCAGTGAACGGTAGATAGGGTCTCAACCGGGCTGACTTGTGTCCGGATCACATGGATCAGAGCGGCTCGGGTGTGCTACTTGGACCCTCCAATCGCTGAGCAGGGGATTTGCAGGAAAGGAACCGTGAGGCTCTTGTCGGGTCTCATGGTTCATCTTGCTTTGGCACCGTTTTTCATTACCGTTTACACATGAATCGGGCCATGATGGGCGAACCAAAGCATCGAACCAACTAGTCTATACACATATATACACATGCATCCTCGCGCGCATTAATATATAGATATATAGATATACATATATACACATACACACCCACATCAAACCCTTGTACAAGACAATCTGTAAACCCCCAGCGGTTTGTCACATGAAATAAACCAACCAAACTGCTTGGAGCCAACAAAAAGTCCCTGCTGATTGCAAGAAACCCATACAAGTGTATTATACATAAACCAGTACTCCGAACGAATAATCATTGCCAGCTCTTCTCATCTGTAAGAAGCCGCCAACGCCCCTCTAAAAACAAAGATAAATAAAGAACCTTCACTGCCCAAAGGCCGGAAAACAACATGGCAATCACAGCCAAATGCATTAAATCCATCTTGAGCACAGTCACCTTCCCCTGCGTTTCAACGGCCTGCCTTCTGCTTCATCTCCGCGATCTTGCTCAAGCTCAGACTGGCGAAGCGGGTGACCTGGCGAAGGTTGCAGTCGTCTCGGGTGGACGTCTCGGATGTCCAAAACTAGGATCTGTGCAACTGCATCTGAGTCTTACAGAACTGTCTGAGTCTTGGGCACGGGCTATACCTATACAGGCTTTTATCAGCTGTATATACGTTTAGGATCTCTTAGGTCTTTTGCTACAATCCCATCTCTAGGGCGCAAAGATACAGTGCCACACACTGAACCTAGGGGCTGTGAGTAAATGTAATTTGACTAAGAATCGAACAGTTAAGAACATACTATTCCAGGGATCGGTGACAGCCCCTTGGGCCCAGCAAGCATCGATGGTGGACGTTGGCCCAGCCATTGCCATTGCTCAACAGAACCGGCCTCAGGTGGGAGAGGCGGTGTGGCGAGGGTGTACGACGTGGGAAAAAACAAGTCGGTGAATTGCAGTGATACAGTATGCTCCTACGGGAAGATCTGGGAATTGCACTGATACATCAAGCTATATATGTGCGACAGTATCTCGTTCAGAGGTCAGTCATGTCACGGTATCTCGTTCAGACTGCTTTAGTAGCAGATCACACTATCTCGTTCAGATCACTTTAGTGACATCAAGCAAAAGCATCTCGTTTATGTGGGGCCCCTATCTCGTTCACAAGCGAATACTGATGATAGACAAACAAATAGAGCATGCCGTAGACCACTTTAGTAAAGCCTAGTAAACGTGGTTGCTCATACATATATATATATATATTTGTTATATACACACTAATATATAGTTGGCCACCGAGCTACAAAAGTATGAGGTGTGGACCTACCCTTACATGTAGTCGATGGGGGGTCCCAACGAAGGGTCCCTCCAATCGCACAGGAATAGAGATTCGTGGTCCATGGGTATTGACCCTAGGAGGATTTCAGCGTGCTGTACCTGAAGCTTCACACCTGTGTATTTTATGGGCTTCTGGATTTTATGGGGTTTTAGGGGCTCATGGACTGACACGTACACTGATGTGAGAAACCAAGGCCAAGCAGCATATGTTCATCTACTGTGGAGACTACCAATTCTATGGATCAGTATGAATTGCTTGGGAGCCCTCCCGATATTACACGCCTGACTTTTTGTCAATCTTGGTCATCTCCTAGATGCTTTTTTGCGGTTGCTGCTTGCGCATTGGCCACTAGTTCAAGTCGCTCGCTCGTGCGTCGGCAGGACATCCATACCGATGTATCTTCGGGAGCGTCCTTGTGTTCCATCTTGTGGACACTGTGGTTCCAACGGTTCGGACGGAGCTGGAGGCGGAGACTCCCATGATCTTATTCAGGAATACCATGTAGCCATCATACCCCCGATCTTTCAAGGCCCAAACAATCCAATAATGTGTTTTTGAACTGCACACCTCTCTTGAAGATCATCCGCTGTAGTGACTGTAGTGGCCCCCAATTTTGGGTGACATGTGGCCTGACAAGGGATCCTTTAGTCCCACGAACCCATTTCCATCAACCAAGCTCCCCGGCTGCGTTCCCAGGGTCGGAGCGCAGGCCATGAGACGTCTCGTCCCGAAGGGTCCCGAAGGGTCCCGAAGGGACGAATGCGTCCAGAAGCGTGTAGGACGGCTGAACAGCTGATATCTGATATCTGCATATTCACAAGAAATGCAAACCGTTGAATGTTTTGGTGGTGCGCAAAACGCTGATGTGTTTTTGTGTGACTTTATTCATAAAATTCCTGGATGGAGGTTGAGTGTTTCCGCGTGTTACCCCCTATCCCTCAACAAATCTAAGTCTCAAAAACCTGTCTAGGCACTATGCCGTCAGAGTCATCTGTTATTTGCTCTAATTACTGCTGGAGCCAGCGATTTAACCCAAACAAGATCCTGAACCATTCGGATAAGGGTCCCCCTGCATTCCAGGGTCTTGCCCGCATGATTTACAACATGTTGATTATGAACCAGCATGGACATGACGAGCACATACAGTCAAACACTTCCAACATGTAACCCGGTGGCTCGAGTGTGATGCGGCCTCCGAGTTTTTTATTACAAGACCCAAAAGAAACTTCCATACCCTGAGGATCACCAAGAGCCAAGATTCCAAAGTGAGATCATCCATTGCGGGATGTCCCGCGATGACATCTCGAATCTCATGTCATCGCGTCCAAAAGCCTCAGTAGCTTGAAATTCCGCAGGAGCTCCGAAAGCCTTCAGAGGTCCCTCCAACTCCAGGACTCTCCCGCGAACGCGCCATGCGCAGCTTTTCTTAGCGCTCTGCACCGGTCGGGGTCGGACACCCGCGCCAGCGCGGAGGAGGATCGAAGCTGTAGGACTTGGTCCGTTCGTTCCACCACCAGCTGCGTCCTGGAAGCATCGGAACCATCCAGGCTCGGGATATCCAGGGAGATCGATAGTAACTGCAGGGTAGTCCAGCCAGACCGATCGACTGGATGCTCCTGGAACATGTAGGGCTTTGGGGCCTTGATGGCATTCAGGTTTTCTGGCAGCCTGGTTCCCCATCTGGCGGCCGGTCGGCGTTCTTGTGCCCATTTTTTCGCAGTAGCTAACGGTTACAAATGAACCTTTGTACGAACGGTATCAAGGGTGTTGGGTTTTGATTCGATCATTTTGGGATTCCCCTCATGATTCAATGCATGCGGTCTTTGGTGAGTTTGTTTCTAGTAGCCGAGGCCGAAGCATGCAGGAGCTAGCTTTCTGGCCTTCTGCGTAGGAAAGAGTCAACAAATACCCTCCCTCCAACAAACAGGGAATTGGAACACGGCCCCTTGGAAGACAAATGCAGAATACGGGCGTTTAAAATTGTTTCAGGGAGTGTGCATCAATCATGAAGCTCACCCAAACACGAGCAGCCAACCTCCAAATTCTTCCACTGTGCATGCAATGTGCCTCATCACTTCTTTGCATGCACATGCATTTATCGCACTGCACCCAGTTGTAGCTGACTCTGACCACACACATGGTGGACTTGCCTATATCAAACAATAGACTCGTTGTTTAGAAGCAGAATGGAACGGGCTAGCAGTGTATCCAATCCGATCTGTTCACACTCCCATTCATGAACATCATTTTTTTTATTATCCTGCTCCCCCAGCATCGTCTGTGACACTTTCAGTCCTGTTTCTGGATCCGTATACTCCTGCCAGTCCTAGTGCAGCGGATCAAGTTGCACGGCGTTCTCGAAGAGCCAACGACGCCGTTGGTGCCAACGGCCAAAGAGAAGGTGCCGAAGAGTCATCCACGAAGCACCCCCAGTCATTTGGACATACAACATCCATCAAAATCCTATTGAATTCCTACGAATTCCTATCCCAAACACTCCATGGGACTGCCATATATGCCGATCAGTTGGGGTGGTGCCAGGGGGTCAATGGGGCGGCATATTATGGCAGTCCCATGGAGTGTATGGGTATACAAGATCGTCCGTGTCTGGAGGTCGGTACATTTCACCGCGCCACAGCCTCGATACTCCAAGCTCAAGGATCTGGTGAGGGCAAGAGCTTAGCAAGACAAGTGAGCAGAAAAATAAAACAAGCTACGCAATTGCAACGGTCATAACCAAGGTACCTCTGCCGGCTTCCGTCGCAAACCAAAGCGTCCTTGGTAGGACCCTAAGATGGTGCCTCCCTCCTGTAAACTTCTCTTCTGCATCACCGTCAACCCGATGTAGAGGCGATACTCAGGCTCCGCGAACACATCTGCGTAGAGCGGCATGATGCGAAAGCACCTGACGCTTCCGCAGAACGACGTCCACGTCGGCTCCACGTCTTGGGCGCTGTCTTGGGCTGACGTGGCTGAGCCAGTAGGACATACAAAGCTTGTCTGAACATTGTCTGAAGCAACTCCAATACAGCTAACTTGCGCAAAGAAGTATGAATTTCTGGAAGACAAAGTAAACAAGGAGTCTGGCAAACTTCGACTTACAATCACTATACAGCGCATCCGCGAGTTTCTCTCAAGCGCGACGAATGTACGTGCCAGACCACTCCGCATGCTCACGCCCTGGTCCCACGTAACAGCAACGCCAGGTGACTCCGCAGAACAGCGTCCTCGCCCTGAGCGCCAAATAGAGGGGTGGAGCTCACAGCCCCACGCTAGAAAACCAGGCATCCAGCTCGGGCGTCATGACCTGGCCCTTCCTCTGGTTCGCCCAGGCACGAGCGTTCTTTCGACAGGACGTGCATTGTATGTTCACGCGCGTCGAGTAGAACTGAAGGCAATGCAGACAGTGTGCGTCGGCAGCATAAAGAAACAGATATTCCATCCTTTTTCCTTCGGGCAACCCTCCATGCTGGCTTTCCCACCTTGGACAATGCGGCGCTCCGCTGCAAGGTGCGAAAATTCCTGAGGCGGCAGTGGAAGCAGCCCCCGACGACGCAGCAGCGCCGGCGTCGCCCTTTGCTGTGCAGCCACCAGTGCTCGGCTTATGCTCCCCAGACGACGCAGTGCTGCCAGCTCCGCCCTGCGCTGCAAAGCCACCAGTGGCGCTGTTGGCGCGGCCCTGTGTAGCATAGCCAGCAGTGTTCCGGCCACGGCGGTCTTGTCTTTCTGCGTCCTCGGCTTCCCGCCAGCGGATGAACTCAACTACAACTACACACCTCATTAGGGCACATTCCATACCGCTTTAAACCTACTCGCTTTGCTTGCTTCAGTAAAATGATAGCCCTAACTTTTTCCTGTAGAAAAAGCTATAAAACTATTAAAGACTAATTAAAGCTAAATAGAACTGAAGAAAACTGAAAAAAA